TCTCTCTCTCTCTCTCAAAAATAAAATTAAAAAAAATTTTTAAACAATAAAGTTGTGAAAATATTGAGTAGAAATCTGCTTGCTGCAATTTCTATCTCTGGTTGCTTCTTCTGTGTTTGGCACTGGACAGACCAAACCCATACTCTCTTCCACATGACACTCATTCATGTAACTGAATCTCCCCCATTGTTGAATATGTGACACAAATTGGTTGAGTTTCATAATGCAAACCTAAAGGAAACTTATCTTGAATAATGATATTACAATACATAGAAGGTTTAAGGGCTCACACACCATCTCATCGTTTTGAACTGTGTGGTTAAAGACCTTGAGAGTTGACAGATTAGTCAGGGATTTGTCAAGAGTATTAATTACAAACTTTGAAATCTTGGTCAGTGAAAGTTCATCATAGTGCATCTTGCAAATATGATCAAAGTCTTTTCACTACTGATTTTATGATGCTTAACCACAGTGTGTAAAGAATGAAGGTTTTCATTAGAAATTACTGGGGTAATAGAGCACATTTTAAAGGCAGATATATTGTTAGACCATTAAAATTCATGATCTTCCCCTACCCTACCCCAACCCCTGTTTTGGGGACCCCCCTCATTGTGAACACCAGAAATGGCATTTTGGACTGCTTTAAAGGAACTGTGCCCTTTACAGTATTAACGTAGCTCAATAAAGACCACTGCTGTGAGGGCAGCCAAGGTGGGGCTGGTGTGTTGTTTTCACAACCATAAAAACTTGCGGGCGAAGTGTAATTTGGTGAGTGGAAGAAATTTATGGCCGGCTGAAAACTTTAAAAAATGGAGGCGTAAGTTGTGCCGCTGGTTATGGGAAAGGAGAACAGTCCCTTGTCCTTGTCGAGGTGTAGAAAAACAATCGATTATTTTTGTTAGCTTTTTCCCTCCTGGGAATAAAAAAGAAATACATTGGCACCTAAACCATGGAAAAGGAAATTAGAATACATCCAATGCAGCTCCTCCAAAATCACTAGCTTACATTCCCCGCTCCCTTCTGCCAAGATGTCCGGTCTATGCCTTGCAATGGTTTTCAGAGTACACATGGGTATCTGCCAGGTGTTCGCCTTAGCTGCAGGCCGATTTGCTGCAGCAGCAGCCAGCGGAAGATGCGCAGAGATGCCGATGCTTGGCCTTGATACCCCCAGTCCCACTGCGCCTGCATGTCAGGAACTATGGCCTGCTGCCCGCCAGGGGTGGGGAGGCGCTAGACTGGCGAGAACTGGGACCTGTCTGCCACTGGTTCACCTGTCTTATGCTCTTCTGTTCAGTTGCGTCTGCACGCCAGAGGGTGGCACCCCAGGCACTCCAGAGGTGGAAGGGAGGAAAAGGATGGGGACTGGAGGAGAGGGGAGGGCAGGGCCGGCAAGGGGAATGCTGATAAAATTCTCAGACCTCGGTCTTGAGATTCCCATCTAATTTGGAGCCCACCCCTAGCCCAGTATGGAAGACATGGGCTTCTGCAGGACCAGGTGTCATAGATTTAGTAATTTCTAAGACGATTAAGTCTTGTGAAGGTTATTCATGACCATCGGCCCTACCCTCCTGGGTCCCGGGAAATCCCAAGGGAAACTAGTTTCCCCAGCGGCTACCTGTGCCGGTGTTTGGGAGTGGGCGCAAAGCCAATGGCACCCCACGCTGTAAGTGAGGCAACATCTGACCTGTCACTTTGTGTCCTGTTTTGCAGTTGCTGGATTTGTGCGACTCGGTGAAGGATGATGCCCTGAGGGTGATCTCCGCTTTTAACATTCCACACACCTCCCTCCACGCACCGATCGCCGGAATCACCAACGACCGGGCCGCCTGGGCCTTCTACCCTGCACCGCCGCAACCCCGGGCCCGAGAAGGGGCGCGCTCTCAGCGGCCCAAGCTGGGAGCCAAGTTATAGCGGGCGTGGCGGGAAGGGTGGTGGCTCGCTCGCAGCTGCCGCGACATTAGCTTCTCTGACGCCTGGAGCTGGGGCCGAGGCCGGCCCGGCACGCGCTGGGCCTCGGCCCTCGGGGAATTTAGGTCGCAGAGCGGGGTTCCCACCGAGGCTGGCGCGGTGCGCGATGGGCTGTTGGGGAAGGAAGCCAGGCGGCAGCCCGGAACACCGAGCCTTACCACGTAGCCCGGCGGGGCCCAGCAGCAACCTCTCCCAGCTTAGGCGCCGGATCCCCCTAGACAGTGGGTTCCCCTGCTAACACGCCTCACACCCGGGTGCCCCCAAAAGTCTCCTGCTGTCAGCGGTGATTCAGATTTACAGTGATTTTTGGAAAACGCATTGGTGCTGCGTGGGGGGAAAAAATCAAAGCATAAAACTCAAGCACTCGTGGGCAAAGTTCAGTTCAGCAAGTGATGCTTTTCTAGTGAATCAGACCCTCTCGGAGTCTTAGAGGAAACGCTGGGACGGGAAAGGGGAGCGTGCGCCTGGAGTTTTGCTCTCGGCAGAGCGCGAACTCCGGCCTCCCTGGCAGGCAGCTTCCGGGCGTAAGACAACGAACGGAAAATATTTTTACCGTATGAATTTGTAATCTGTTCTTTAGAGGAGCACAGACAACAAAGTTTAATAAAGACATTAAGCGACGGGAAGGCGCTCCGGCTACTTGCGAGGATGGGGAGGCGGGCTAGGGCAGTACACTGCAGTTCAGTTGATTTCGGAACTCGGAGAGACCACACCGGCAACGCCGGTGGTCCGGGTAAGGGCTGTAGATTTCCCATCTCATTTCTTAGATCATTGCCCCACTTCGTACTTTCTCCTCTCTCTCAGTCCAAGCCATCCTTGCTCCCTCTCCACGTCTCGTGCGGAGGCAGGAGTGGGCATAGCTCTGCTCGAGTCAGCGAGGGCGACATCCAGGACCGGGACCGGAGCAGAGAGCCCGCCTACCCTTCCCACACTGTCCCTTTTTCGGGCTGTGGCCCGGTTTCCAGAGGACCTCCGGACCCTGTGGGAGAGGGCGGCAAGAGCGGGCGTGTTCTGCCGAAGCTCCCAGCACAGTCTGGGTTGCACGGACAGCGGACTCCCAGCCGACCCAAATACGAGCGCTTAACCAGTTGCTTTCCCTGAAGCCTTTGGGGTTTTGTTTTTTCTGTTTTTTTTTTTTTTTTTTTTTAAGTGTTCACAGGGTCGCTAAAGCAGACGACGCGGGGGCGGCGGAGCTGCACAGAAGCAGATGACAACCACTAGGACTTTCTTCTGCATGATTCTTTTCCTGTCCCTGTCTGCGTCGCCCAGCCCCACGGAAAGCTCGCAGCACTCGGGCAGTTTGGGGGCTCCCAGCGGGCGCAGGAGTTCTCTTCCCCACCCCCCGGCCCCCGGGTGCTACCCCGGGCGGCTAAGGCTTTAGAGATCGCCGGTAGTCGCCACCTGAGGTCGAGGGCAGCAGCTCCAAGCCACGGTCACGGTAGACATCCGGCCTCTGCGTCCACGGCCCACGCCCTTGTCCTTTCCCTCTTGCAACGAAATCCCGCGGCAGACCTGGCCATGGGTCCTTGAGTCCCTCCAGGAGCCCCTGGCCTCCTACACTTCGCTCGGGACTCTCTGGAGGATGCGCTGAGACTTTAACCAGGGGCTATGCTGTCTCGCTGACGTTCCATATCTGCTTATGCAGCGCAAAACTGACCGAGGTGGCCAGCAGCGGGACATACGCCTGCTGACTTGCTCCTCTGCAACTGAGGACCCTTCCTAGTTGGTTGGGGGTGGGGGGTGGGGGGAAGATAGGTGATCCTTAAATTGAGTTTCTTTATTCCGCCTAACCGGGTCTCTTCCGTGGCAGGATGTTCCGTATCCCAACAGACTTTGTCCCCACTCCCCGGCCACGGCTGTCTCCTAGCCGGGGACTGCGGTGAGGGGTAACGGTCAGGACTCATGACCCACATTCAGGAGAACAATTAGGGGTGCGGACCCAGAGGCGTACCCGTCCCCCCAGCAGGAGTGGGAGTGGGGCCGCGGGCACCAAGGAGGAAGGGGATCGCGGCGCGCAGGGAAAAGGGGTGGGGGAGGGGGTACTTCGCTCTCTACACCACTCAGCACGCGCGCCACCTTCCTTGGCCTCGGCGCGCCTCTCGGGCAGTTCTCTGAGAGCCCCACCAACCTCTAGGATCCTAACCTAGCAGGGCCACCATGCTCTCTCCCACTTGAAGGCCGAGATTCTTCTGGGCCTTTTTTTTTTTTTTTTCCTTAAAAGGATTTTTTTCGAGTTATTTTTTTTCATTTCCCTATTTTCTACCTGCTCTGCGCGCAGTCCCTTCCCGACTCGGGGCTGCGGAACAGACGCCTCCGGGGAGCCGCTCCTTGCCTCTTTCTCCACTCTCCCCACTAAGGGCTCTGCCTCTTATCCGAGGTTCCGCGCAGGAGAAAAGCTAGGTGTCCCTGCCAGATGGCAGGAGGAGGGAGCCTAGAACAATCACGTGAAGCGAGGGCGAGGAAGAGCAGCCCTGCACATCAGGGTCTCTCCCAGCACCCCAGACGCTGAGTGAGGCGAGCTTTGAGACCCTCTGCTCCACCTTGGATCTGCGTGTTCTCGGATCAACCCAGTCCCCGCGTCTGCCCGAGAGTGGTTGAGATAGAAATTCCTGCAGCCCATCAGGGGCTCGGGGGCGCCTCCTGAGGCCTTCCGCAGGCGGCAGCGGCCCAGCCCGCTCCTGTGTGCCCGGAGCGCCCCCTCTGTTCCAAGCGCACGTCTTGGCCTCTGCTGGATGGGGGAGAGGCAAGGGTACGCTTTGGCGGGGGAGGGGGGATGGGTGCGCCTAAGCCACCAGCAGCCCAAGTCGCTCCCGTAAACACGCCCAGCTGGGGTAGAGGGGGCAGCGCGTGCAGGGGAACCCGGCAGGGCCACCCCCGCCTTTACCTGTCGGAGCCTGAAAGCGCCGGCGGCTGCTGCGCGGCGGGGGCGGGGCTTGCCTGCCCGCGCGCCGGGGCGGGACCCAGCGGGGGCGGAGCTCACGGTGATTGGGTGCGCGTGCGGGGCCACCAGCCAGAGCCGAGCTGCCGGGCTGTGCAGGTTTCACTTCGCTCCGCGCAGCCTCCAGGTTCTGATCTTGTAAGAGCGCTCCGTCCCGCGTCGCCGCCGCCACCACTGCCACCGGATTTTCGAAGTCGCCCTGCGATCCCCAGCCCAACTGCGGCCAGCATTACCGCGGGCTGCTCGCTTCACCCCGCTCCCGCCGCCACCCCCCCTCGGCGCCCCTTCCCTGGCCCTCGTCCCCCCAATGTCTGACTCTGACTCTCGGACTGAGAAACGCAAGGTAAATACCTCCGAATCCCCGGGAGCGGGCCGGGTGCCGACGGAAGACGAACACCGGAGCCAGCTCGGCTCCACCTCCCGCTCCCTTCCCGAGCACGTGCAGGCAGAGATGCACGTACCCGTCGCACTTGTCGCTGGGCGGGAGGAGGCGATCCGGCGGGTCGGGTTCTCTACCCCTGCAGGTCCAGTTTGGTGAGGGGTCGTCCGTGGAAAGGCTACGGGCACTTGGCCGAAGTGCGGCTCGGGCCGGGATTCCGCGCGAGCGAGTGGAGAAGCCTCTCAGGGCCAGCTGGGAAGGCAGCGTGTGCTCTTCGCTCTGTCCCGGGAGCTGGGGCCCTCGCTCCACGACACTGGGCTGCGCGGCCGGCCGGAACCTCGCGGCCCGCTCCCGGCGACCCCCAAGTAGCGGCTGCGCCGTACGAGCTGGTTTGGAGCCTTGACTTCCCTCGCGTGCTTGGGCCTGTTGCGGAGGATTTGCGGAACTGAGGTGGTTATTTAACTGATGGGACTCGGCTTTTCCTTGTACCCATTCAGGCCGAGGTTTCAGGGCAGCTACTGCGTTCGCTCTCTCGTACGTGTCTGGGAGCCCTGCCCGGCCTGCGGGTGCGCTGCAGACGATACCAGCCGCACCATCCAGAGACAGCGGGAGAGCGAGGGCCTCCTGCGACTGCCGCGGCCACGCAGTGGACGAGCCTCGAGCAGCAGAACCTGCTGCATCCAGGGGCCGGACTGTCGCAGATACCCGGGCACCCCGACTCGCTCGCATTGCTGGCTGGCGGTGCGGTGCCCTCGAGGGCCCGTAACTCGGTGCTGGTGCTGGTTGTGGAAGACCCGCGGGACGCTGGGAATGGGGGTGTGGATATGTTCGTTGTCTGCAGTGGTCACGGGTGCGCGCAGACATGCGTGCCCGTGGCCGTGGTGGTCGCTTAGATTTGGAGCGTGTCCGCGGCGCACGGGGAGAAGAAGGGAGGAAGTTGGAGGAGGGTCGGTGCTGCAGCTCGGGAGGGGGCGGCCTTTGGGGTCTTAAGCCCTGCCGGCCTGGGCGAGGGTCGGCGGCCAGCAGCAAGGACTGGGGTCTGAGAACGGCCCTGCGGGTGAGGAGAGAGCGAGGCTCCTGCTTTGTCTCCAGGTGATCGGCTGCCTAGGGCGGCGGGAGCTGCCGAGGCTCGAGCGGCGTCCGGACGGACTCGGAGGCGTGGCGGGCGGGGGAAGCCTGGGCAGGCTCGGGTCCCCTAGACTCCGGCCGCTGCTACCGCCGCCGCCGCCGCCGCCACGGCTGCGGCCGGGACCGTCTTTGGAGGCGAGTTTGTCAACAATCGCCTTGCCTTTGGCGGCCTGACCCGTAGGCGCCGCCCCCGCCGGTGGCGGCTATTGGCTGCGGCGCGGAGCGACCGCGCGCGAGCCAATTGGGAGCTCGGGCACCCGGCGCCAGCGGCGCGGGGAGGTCGGCGGTGCCGGCGGCGGCGGGCGCAGTGCGCGAGGGGAGGAGCGGGAGGAGGCGGAGGATGTTCCCGGCGGCGGCAGCGGCGGCGGCCGGGGCAGCGCGGGCCAGAGGCGCGGCGCGCGGAGCCCTCGGCTGCCCGGCTGGGCGCGGCGGCGGGTGGGCGGCCAGTGGTCGGGTCTGCGCTGCCCCGGGGGCTCAGAACGCGAGTTCTAGGCTTTGTCTCCCGCGCTACCTTCGTGCTGACGGTCAGGGGGCTCCGGGTCGGCGAAGGACGCGGGCAGGACGCCGCGCGGCCCGGGCTCGGACTCGACGCTCGGAAGGGAAGGGGCGGACGTGAGTTTCGGCCCGATTGCCTTCACAGAGGAGGGTCAATGGGGTGAAGGAGCCGCGCGCCCCAGTGTCGCCTAGCGTGTAGAGTTACTTGGGGACTTTGCAGGGGGCGCCCGGGGACGGCTTTGGGAGACAGCCCCCCTCCCCATTTGGAGGTGTGCACCTCGCAGTGCGGGTGCATTCCGAAGACGTTCTGTGGCGTTCGGGGCGGCGCGCTGCCCCCTGCGGGAGGAGGGGCGCGCGGGCTGGGAGCGGGAGGGACCGCGGGCGGGGAGCGCCCGACCCGGGCCGAGCCGCGCTCCGACTTACAAACTCTATTGTGACGCACTTACTACGACTGACGGCCCTTGCCAAACCTTCCCCAGACTTGCTGCCCTCAGCACTTTCGGCAGAACAATGGGGCCGGAGCGGGGAACGCGGCCAGCCGCCTGCAAATCGCTGCCTCCGCGCCCGCTCCTGTGCTCCAGCGCGGTATCTGATCCCGGGAAATCAGAGCCCGCTGGGAGTTTCCGACTTCTTCGAGTCGGCCCGGAGCAAAGAGCACGTGTCAATAGACTTAACACTAGCCGCTGCTCCTAAAACTTTGTGTGTGTGTGTGTGTGTGTGTGTGTGTCCGTGTGTGTTAGAGCACCGGTTTCACGTTGACGTTGTAATTGTATTTTGTTTGGTGGCAGGAAGTTTAGTCCCACCTCCTCTCTTCCCCCGCCCCCTCCCCGCAAAGATAGAGATAACATTTGTTATTTTAGGTGTGTATTTATTCTTACTTGGCAGATGCAGAGAAATAGATGAAATAATGACCCTAACGTTAAAGCGTTCGCTGTTTTAAACATTTTGAAGGAGTCCGCGAAAGTTAGCCACATTTCGTTACTCGTTACACTTCTTGTTTTGCCTCAAATAATCTTGGTTTTTATTTTACTTGCAGAAAAAAAGACCAAATGGCAAAGCAACCTTCAGATGTAAGTTCTGAGTGTGACAGAGAAGGCGGACAATTGCAGCCTGCTGAGAGACCTCCTCAGCTCAGGCCTGGGGCGCCTACCTCTCTACAGACGGAGCCGCAAGGTAATCCTGAAGGCGAAGGGGACCGCTGCCCGCAAGGCAGCCCGCAGGGCCCGCTGGCCCCACCAGCCAGCCCCGGGCCTTTTGCTACCAGATCCCCGCTTTTCATCTTTGTGAGAAGATCCTCCCTGCTGTCTCGATCCTCCAGTGGGTATTTCTCTTTTGACACAGACAGGAGCCCGGCGCCCATGAGTTGTGACAAATCAACACAAACCCCAAGTCCTCCTTGCCAGGCCTTCAACCATTATCTCAGTGCAATGGGTAAGCAATACCCCGGTAAGAGGTAGCTAGCGTGTGTGGTTGTTTGACTATCTGCGGAAAGGCTGTGTGTAGCATTTACAGTAAACACCCCCCCTCCCTTGTAGAATCCTTTTACTGACTCATTCCATGTTTTGATAGGAATGGAGGATGTGTCAGATAAGACATGAAGCCAACATTGCTTTTAAATGTTCTCAAGTTTTGTGGCAGCAGTAAAAGACACCCAGTATCTGCCTGTTGAGCAGGAAGGCTGAAATCCCTGCTTTCATTAAAGTGTATGTGTTGTTCTAACCACTAAGACTCACTTTTTCATGATCCCCGCTTGAAGGGGACTCAGGTCAGATACAGCAAATAGCTGAAAAAACATAAACTAAATGTATGAAGAAAAAGTGAGTCAAGTTAAGCATTTTCAACAGTGGCATTTTAGAAAACTGACCTGGCTCGTCAAGGCAAGTACCAGCCTAGAACCATGGAAATGGTTTGTTTTCTACTCACATTTCTCTTTGGGCTAATTCTCTTTGCTCAGAGGTTTCAGATATAGTACTAGTAAGATTAGATTGTGGGTTTTTATTTCGGGGATGAAAGACTGTCTTAGGGTCTGAACCAGGAGCGGCAAACATAAGCGCCCAGGAAAACCTGACCGGACCATCAGAGAGGGAACTGACCTTGTGGGAACTAACTATGGGAAATGGGAGAGCATTTGCACTTTCTACATTGGCAGTGCCCCTCCTCCAGCTGTGGGTGTGTGGCCTCCAGAGTAGTGGTAGTTATCCTATTGTATAGCTCAAGATAACCCAGGAATGCAGATTTTGACGCCAAATACCCTGATGTTTAGACATTGGCAATTAATTTAGAACTTTGGAAGCACTGTGCAAGCCAGATAAAACATCTGCAGGCTAGATTTGACCCTTGAGCCCCCACCATGTGACTTTCAGCATGTTTGGCTCTGGCATCCTTGGTAAGGGAGCAAGTCTGTGCTGATGCAAATCACTCTTCCCCACTAATGGGAAAGGTTCATGTCTTGGTAAGGATTCACCAAGTAAGATGGACAGTAAGTCCATCATTCCTTAAGGATCCAGTACGTACAGATTCCAATACAACGTTGATCATGTTTTTGCCGAAGACTAAGTGAAACAAGTCATCAGGCTAGACACTTGATTGCTGGAACACAGGGACAGGTCTTGCATTTGCAGTTACTGTGGGGCTCTGTCTCCTAATCTTCAGATGGGGAAACCGCTCAGGTCTGTCCCCACGTTAGAAAGCACCTCAGGGTTGGTCACTTGTCCGATTGGGCACGCCTAGGAAATGGCAGGCTGAGATGGCAAATACACCGGAGCTGTGCATCTTGGCTAGGTGTCTCCTGCAAAAAACCGAGATCTACTTTATTAGGATCCCTCCTTAGGGAAAAGAGCTAGAGGTTTTATTGCTACTGTTACTTTATTTCTCTCACTACCATCCTGGACTCCTTTAAATCTTAGAAGTTCTCAGGGGTTGCAAACGTTTTTCTGCCCATGGAAGTGCTCTTGAGTTTATGAACCTGTAGCATTCTTGCTCCCTGAATGAGTGAATAGGGCTTAATGGTGTGTATTTTTAAAAACCTATGTATTTTAAGGATCCTTTGGAAGCCTTAAAGTTTTTCCCTGCAGACCTGTGAATCTGCCTCTACAGGTGGTGGCTTAATGCACAGAAATAGTTTATCTTAGCTCGTTAACCAGGAATAGTGGGTGAGATAATGTATTTTTTTTTTTTTTTAGTATGTATGGTAACATGCTGTTTAGCGAGATTATAAGGTAAGCACTGTTACTCCACATGACAGATGTACAGCTTTGGAGATCACAGTCTGAGTTATTAAGGAAAGTTATGTTTATACCTGTGAAGTCAAGTCATAGATCCTGGGGTGTAATTTTATAGCAGTAACTGCATTCCAGTAGATTGGCATGATAACTGTGAGTTTAATGCACAGCAGTAAATGATAAGTTATAAGGAGTTTGTCTGAAGTTAGTAGATGAAGGTAAGTTTTCAGCATGAAGTTCTGGGGAGATTTGTTTGTTGAGGTGGGGGGTAAATGGGGGGGAACTGGAGAGGACTTAGTCAGATATGAGTTTTATTAAACTGAAGAATAAAACTGACAGCCTTGTAGTCTGCAGCTTCTTTCTCTGGTAATTCTAATAGGCCAGCGCCTGAAAACTACTGAAATATGCTGAGTTGACAAAATTTGGTCCTGTTCTCTTTGTAGTCCTGTTTCATGTTCCTTACTCAACCGTATCCGTTAAGATCTTCAATGAAGCTTTTGATAATTTATTGCAAAATACATTTTTTGACAAAGAAGTCATTATGGTTGGTTTTCCCCAGAGCAACACAAATGTGAGGTTATAAAGAGGTTCCCCTTTGCCAGGGGCTCCTTCTCCTTCACCCACAAAATAGTTTCTGCTCAGCGAGTGGGGATAGGCAGCAGCGGGTCCGCCAGGTCTGTTCCTGCATCTTTGTTCCAGTGAGAAAGTAGATTCTTGTCTGGGATGTAGAGCAAGTAGAGGTTTTATTTGTTCTAGAAGTGTCTTCCTGTTTTCTCCATATCCCCAGTTTTTCTGGAGATGTTCAAAAATATTGTATTTTTCCATGAGAAGAGAGAGGGAGGGTTTGGTTTGGTTTGGTTTGGTTTTTCTTTTACCAGCCAAATTGTAGTCTCCTCACACCCTGGGTCGATTAACTTAACAAATGCTCTCAGTGAATAACTGATTATTTTACTCAAAGTCATTGACAGAGGTATGGATTTCTGAGTGCCTTTGCTAGTGAGTGTGCTTATGCCATATGCGTTTTTAATACATATTGTGTACTAAACCCTGCACAAATTTGTACCTTGAAGGTGTAGTTACTGCTGTTGGAAGTAAGAGCCGAGAAAGGTCAGGATGTGCAAGTGAATATTGTGAACAGGGTGAAAGCTAGGTAATTAACAACTTTCATGTGTCAAATGACTTAAACCTGGAACATCAGAATTCACAGGTAGGGGTTAATTGTGTTCTGTGTACTCCTCTACACGATGTGCACACGCCTCTTGCACCTGGCACTTATCTGGCAGATTGGGAGCCCTCTGAGGAGTGGCACGGTGTCCTGCAGACCCTAATGAGGACCTGGCAAAGAGGTCATGCCCAGGGGATGTTCAGGGTTTGGAGTTTTGCCCATCAGCCTTACCGTAGAGCTACCTGAGCACAGATAAGATTTCTAAAAAAGTCTAGTAGCAGGAAAAAGACCCTGTGTGTCTACCTCCCCCCAAATAATTTTTTTCTTATTTGGATCTAACTATAAGGTTTATCATGTGGGGGGTGACAGGTGGGATCTAGCTGAGTGGGGAAACCACAATTGAGAACTGAGCACTTAAGATGCAACTAGTCCATACTGAGATGTGCTTGTTAGTGTCAGTTCACACTGGAGTTTAAAGACTTAGTACATAAGAAAGAGTGTAAAATATCTTAGCCACGTTTATATGAATGATATATTGAGATATTTTGAATATACTGGGTTAAATTTAAAAATGTGGTTTTTTAAAAAAATTTTAATGTTTATTTTTGAGAGAGAAAGTGTGAACAGAGGAGAGGCAGAGAGAGAGGGAGACACAGAATGCGAAGCAGGCTCCAGGCTCTGAGCTATCAGCATAGGGCCGGACGCCAGGCTTGGACCCATGAACCACGGGATCATGACCTGAGCCGAGGTCAGACACTTAATCAACTGAGCCACCCAGGCGCCCCAACTTAACCTTTTCTAAGTGTACAGTTTAGTAGTGTTAAGTATATTCACACAGTTGTATAACCCACTCCTAGGAGTTTCTCACCTTGTAGAACTGAAATACTATACCCATTAACCATCAACTCCCCATTTCCCCTCCTCCCAGCTCCTGGCAACCTTCATTTTATCTGTGTCTATGATTTGGACTGTTCTAGATGTTTCATGTAAGTGGGATTATACAGATTACACATGATCTTTTCATGACTGGTTTATTTCACTTAGCATAATGTCCTCAAGGTTCATTCTTATTCATTATTAGACTTCCCTTTTTAGGGCTGAATAATAGTCCATTGCATTTACGCAACATACTTTTTTAATTTATTCATCCCTCAGTGGACATTGGGTTGTTTCCATCTCTTGGCTGTTACGAATAATGCTGCTTTGAATATGGGTATGCAGATATCTCATAGATTATCCTGTGGATTCTTTTTGATATGTACAAACATCTCTTCAAAATCATGCTTTTGATTCTTTTGCATACATACTCAGGAGTGGGATTGTTGGATCATATGGGATTTCTGTTTTTAATTTTTTGAGGAACCTCCACCGTCTTTTCCGCAGTGATCACAACATTTGATGTTCCCACCAACAGCATATGGGGGCTCCAGTTTCTCCACTTCCTTGCCAGCACTTATTTGTTTTCTTTCTTTCTTTCTCTCTTTCTTTCTTTCTTTCTTTCTTTCTTTCTTTCTTTCTTTCTTTCTTCCTTCCTTCCTTCCTTCCTTCCTTCCTTCCTTCTTCCTTCCTTCCTTCCTTCCTTCCTTCCTTCCTTAAATAGTAACCATCTATGTGGTGATATCTCATTGTGGTTTTTAATTTTTCTTTCCCTCATGATGCGTGATGTTGAGCATCTTTTCATATGCTTGTTGGTTTTTAAATAAAAGATATTTTTTGTATTAATTTTACCTGTTTCTCTTTGCCTTTTTAAAAGTGTTTCTTCGAGAAAAATGTCACATTAGCTCTGTGGCTGGCATTGTCTTACCCGGGTGGGCTGCTTTGCAGATGGAGGAAGCTAGGATGGACAGCGGTGGTGTCGCCAGCCGGACCTTATTGTTCCTACTTTGAGCACACCGTTTCGATGCAGTGATTCCTTTGGTTCCTTTTGTTGACTTTGGAGTGAAAGTAATTAACCTAATCTTATAAGCATCTTAAATAAGCTTTTTTTTTTTTTTTTGATAGCTGTGTTCTTCAGGAAAGCATAAATATCATTTTTGTTTTACCTT